GCATCAAATGACCAAATCCACAAAGGGCCGTGACGAGGATTCGAACCTGTCCTCATATCCCAGCTCCTTGTCCTCATACCCCTGCTCCCTGTCCTCATATCCCTGCTCTCTGTCCTCATATCCCAGCTCCCTGTCCTCATATCCCAGCTCCCTGTCCTCATATCCCAGCTCCCTGTCCTCATATCCCTGCTCCCTGTCCTCATATCCCTGCTCCCTGTCCTCATATCCCTGCTCCCTGTCCTCATATCCCTGCTCCCTGTCCTCATATCCCTGCTCCTTGTCCTCATATCCCAGCTCCTTGTCCTCATACCCCTGCTCCCTGTCCTCATATCCCAGCTCCCTGTCCTCATATCCCTGCTCCCTGTCCTCATATCCCTGCTCCTTGTCCTCATATCCCAGCTCCCTGTCCTCATATCCCAGCTCCCTGTCCTCATATCCCTGCTCCCTGTCCTCATATCCCTGCTCCCTGTCCTCATATCCCTGCTCCCTGTCCTCATATCCCTGCTCCTTGTCCTCATATCCCAGCTCCTTGTCCTCATACCCCTGCTCCCTGTCCTCATATCCCAGCTCCCTGTCCTCATATCCCAGCTCCCTGTCCTCATATCCCAGCTCCCTGTCCTCATATCCCAGCTCCCTGTCCTCATATCCCAGCTCCTTGTCCTCATATCCCTGCTCCCTGTCCTCATATCCCTGCTCCCTGTCCTCATATCCCAGCTCCCTGTCCTCATATCCCAGCTCCTTGTCCTCATATCCCTGCTCCCTGTCCTCATATCCCTGCTCCCTGTCCTCATATCCCTGCTCATTGTCCTCATATCCCTTCCAAAGCCTAATTACTTTCTCCTAATAATTATCTAACCAGGATGTTCCCCCAACTGATTTTTGTAATGATAATGATAAATTCAGTTAATTAGCCGGATGGTCCCAGGGCCGATTCCCGCGCAAGACGAAACCTTTTGGGCACGTCGCCTTGTATAATGATGCCCCTGTTTACACCGAGCGGTAGATGAGTAACAGACAGTCGACCATTGTGGGGTTTACTGTGTGGAGCTGGGTGGAAGTGGAGCGCCAGGAGCCTCCACTTTGGAAAGTCCTCACTGGCTTGGTAGCTGTATTGGTTAGATAACCGGTTATCTTCTGTTAGAATAGACTAAGTACATCCTGTGAGCTCTCTCGGTAGATAGCAGGTGTTTAAACTGTGTTACTGTGTGTGTGTGTGTGTGTGTGTGTGTGTGTGTGTGTGTGTGTGTGTGTGTGTGTGTGTGTGTGTGTGTGTGTGTGTGTGTGTGTATCGTGCACACACACATCAATCGCTGCACACGCGTTGATGTGTGCCGCCACAAACAACAGCCTGTTGATGCTACGCGAGTAATTCTTGTTGCAGTAGGCGAGAACACACAGTATACTGATGCTGCACTGACAGCTCTTAGTCGCACACACACACACACACACACACACACACACGCACACGCACACACACACACACATACAGTACACTGAGGCTACACAGACAGCTGTGTGTCACACACGATGTGCAGCTATTCTTTTACGAGACTTGTGTGTGTACAAACATAATTTCTTTACCGGAAGTAAAATAATTGAAAATTTGCGCACTCCTGGGCCGTTGAACATTACTGGACCGTTGAACATTACTGGACCATTGAACATTCCTGGACCGTTGAACATCGGCACTGATAGGTCAGGTTGATTAATGTAGGTTTGAAGCTTTCGTTACAGTATAAACATTAAGACTACGGTTATCAACATATCTTGGGGAGCCGACGGCCCGACCAAGTGAACAGGTTGATATAAACACCTATAACCCCCCCCCCCTTCCCCCCCCCCAACCACCACCACCACTGATAGAATAGGTTTCATGGGGTCTATAACCCCGCGGGTGAATAGGTATCTCCTCGGTATCGACTTGAGAATGGTCCAGGACGGACCGAAACGTCGTCGTCCCTTCACCTTCTAGTGTGTGGTCTGGTCGACTTACTTCAGCCACGTTATTGTGACTCGTCGTCTGCATAGGTATCTCCTCGTTTCTGTCCTCCATTGTGGTTTGGGTTTGAAACTCATCCTCCTCGTTTTTGTTACATCTGACCTTTATCCAATACGTTGATCCGGATCAAATTCAAATTCGAATTTGAATTTCCGGAACATTTGAATTTCCGAATTTTGTATTTCCGGATCAGCATCCTCCAAACTGTTCAGCATTTTAAAAGTTTCGAAGAGATCAGCCCAATCATGTCCGGTTTGCAATGTTGTTAGCCCTTAGGGAGCCGGTGGCTGAGCGGACAGAACAATGGACGCGTGATCCTGTGGTCCCTCCAAACTGTTCAGCATTTTAAAAGTTTCGAAGAGATCAGCCCAATCATGTCCGGTTTGCAATGTTGTTAGCCCTTAGGGAGCCGGTGGCTGAGCGGACAGAACAATGGACGCGTGATCCTGTGGTCCCGGGTTCGATCCCGGGCGCCGGCGAGAAACAATGGCCAGAGTTTCTTTCATCCTGATGCCCCTGTTACCTAGCAGTAAATAGGTACCTGGGTGTTAGTCAGCTGTCACGGGCTGCTTCCTGGGGGTGGAGGCCTGTTCGAGGACCGGGCCGCGGGGACACTAAAGCCCCGAAATCATCTCAAGATAACTCAAGAAGATAGGGCCCTTAACCTGGTGTGAGTATGTTGTTGTTTGAGATTTAGCTACTCAAAACAAAGTGTCCAAGTAGCACGGGCTATGGCGACCCCGTGATGTAAGTCAAAAGTCCCCCCTGAGCCCGTGATGTAAGTCAAAAGTCCCCCTTATATTTATCCCCTGAGCTGTGGTGAAGGTTACAGAAGCACAGAATGGGCCCAGGAGCCGAGTCCCAACATTCGTCTACCTAAGCAGGTTACAGCGTTAATGACTTTCAACTGTGGACTGAAGGGATTTGTCTTCAAGTCCATGACTGAATTTCTCTACAATTCGACAAATAAAGTATTTTCATAGTGACTAAGTAACATGGTTCTGACCTTCAACGAGCTTGACTATGTCTGTCAGTTTTGTCCTCAAGGGCGAATGTACTAGGCTGCGTCACTCATCCTGTGAGTGTACACACCGCCATACCAGCGTCACTCATCCTGTGAGTGAACACACCACCATACTAGCGTCACTCATCCTGTGAGTGAACACACCACTATACCAGCGTCACTCATCCTGTGAGTGAACACACCGCCATAGCAGCGTCACTCATCCTGTGAGTGAACACACCGCCATACCAGCGTCACATCCTGTGAGTGAACACACCGCCATACCAGCGTCACATCCTGTGAGTGAACACACCGCCATACCAGCGTCACATCCTGTGAGTGAACACACCGCCATACCAGCGTCACTCATCCTGTGAGTGAACACACCGCCATACCAGCGTCACATCCTGTGAGTGAACACACCGCCATACCAGCGTCACATCCTGTGAGTGAACACCCCGCCATACCAGCGTCACTCATCCTGTGAGTGAACACCCCGCCATAGCAGCGTCACTCATCCTGTGAGTGAACACACCGCCATACCAGCGTCACTCACCCAGCGAGCATGTCAAGATCTCGTGCCACTCACGTAAAATATTAACAAAATAATGGGAGGCACCAAATTTAAACATTTGAGAAGCCCTTGTCTGAAGACTAAAAAATGTACCCGCAAAAAACAGGTTCCAAGGCTGAAGACCGCAAGTCAGCGCACGGCAGCGCTCGGTGCGTACAGGAAAAGGTTTCTTCCTACTCATCTTTCCCTGGGGCTTGTTTGGGGGGATAGGGGGGGATTTGGGGGGATAGATGGAGGGATGGGGGGAGAGGAGATGGCGTGCAGAAGGTCATGGGAGTGCAATGCCTACACCCCCCTCTCTCTCTCCCTTCCATTCCCTCCTCTTCCTATTCTCGTGTTATACACAGACTGTATAATACATGTGTATGATACCATACACAGGTGGATAGGTGTGTACTACAGTCACATGGCAATGATGGGAGAGAGGGGGATGGGAAGGGTGTGGGAGAGATGGAATGGCCATAGTGGAAGGGCGAGTGATGTGTAAGGGTGTAGGTACTGAAGCAGCATTGACCTTCAAGCTCCCACACCCCCTACCAGCCCCCGGGGCAGTGTGTGTGTGTGGTACAACCCGTACTTAGACCAAGGCCATTCCAACCAGCGGTCGACCCCAAAAATGCATTCATAATTTGTAACATGCTGTTCATTCAAAATAGGAATTTCCTCAAATATAAATTAATATTATTTATTTGCATATTGTGCATATTTAGGCATTGGTTAGGTATTTAGGTTCAGTTGGCGATTATTTGTAGTACGTGGGTAAAGCATTTACAGCGTTGTAGTTCGAACAATAGTCGCCAGCGAGGCACTTGTTCGACAAGTGTTCGGACGTCATCAGTTGAGAGTCGTGTATAAACAGCTTTTCATTCATGAACAGGGGGGGGGGGGTTTGGCGGATGCATGGAATGGACTTTGGCCTTCGTTTATGAGGACGGGGTGGGTGTGGGCACAATTGTTGCGCTTGTACCGATTAGCGAGTCGTGTACCAGGGAAACTAGGAGCGTAAGGCTCACCAGGAAGGGATCTCACTCTGTCAACAGGAGTCGGAAGTCGTCTACTCCTGTACATACGTGTAAAAAAAAATATATATATATAGGAGAGACATGGTGACTGTTAGCAGTGTTAGAGTCCTATAAACGCTGTTGACCAGACCACACACTAGAAGGTGAAGGGACGACGACGTTTCGGTCCGTCCTGGACCATTCTCAAGTCGATCATCGACTAGAGAATGAGAATAGTCACAATCGACTTGAGAATGGTCCAGGACGGACCGAAACGTCGTCGTCCCTTCACCTTCTAGTGTGTGGTCTGGTCAACATACGTCAGCCACGTTATTGTGACTCCTCGCCTGCCTATAAACGCTGTTTATACCTGTGTGTAAAGCTGTGGTGCCTCTGTGTGTAAGACTACTGTGTCTCCCACAGGATGGCCGGAGAGAAGTGTGTACTGAGCAGCTCCTGCTGTGGCTGTAGTCTCCGGAGCGGCTCCCTCGCTATTGGTATAATCAGTCTGGTAAGTACATTACGGGCTCGCCATAGCCCGTGCTACTTGGAACACTTGTTCAGAGTAGCTGAATCTATGACAGCAACATGGTGAGTACTGGGGAGGGAGGGAGGGGGGGGGGAAGGGAGAGGGGAGGGAAGGGAGAGGGGGGAAGGGAGGGTGGGGGGGGGGGAGTAGGGAGGGGGAAGGAGGAAGGGAGGGAGGCCGAGGAGCTCTATAGCAGACTAAAAAGTGTCGAGGAGCCTGAAGGTTGAGTGGACAGCGCTCGGTGTTCGTAGTCCTAAGGGCCCGGGTTCGATCCCCGGCGGAAACAAATTGAGCAGAGTTTCTTTCACCTTGATTCCCCCCTGTTCACCTAGCAGTAAATAGGTACCTGGGTGTTAGCTGCAACGGGCTTCTTCCTAGAAAGGTGTGTATCTGAAAATTAGGATTAAGGACTTGCCCGAAACGCTATGCGTGCTAGTTGCTGTACAAGAATGTAAGGCCTCTTGAGTGTGTGTGTGTGTGTGTGTGTGTGTAGGTGTGTGTGTGTGTGTGTGTGTGTGTGTGTGTGTGTGTGTGTGTGTGTGTGTGTGCTCACCTAGTTGTGTCTGCAGGATCGAGCATAGACTCTTGGATCTCGCCTTTCGAGCATCGGTTGTTTACAGCAATGGTGTGTGTGTGTGTGTGTGTGTGTGTGTAGGTGAGAGAAGTGGGAGAGGATGGAAGCGAGGGGCGAGAGAAAAATGGGTGGATAAAGGAGGGAGATGAAGTGTGAAAGAAAAATAATATAACAGAAGAGAGGAAGGGTTGGGAGAGATGGGAGAAATAGAATATGAAAGGGAAGAGAGAGAGAGTGAAAGAGAAACAGGGAAGAGAAGATAAAGAATAGGAGGAAAATAAGGATCAAATAATGCTGAAAGATAATTTGAATAATAAAATGACTTATTATCTCCTTTCACAGATCTTCGGAATCCTTTATGGCATCTTTGGGATCTACAATGGTGTCAAAGGTGAGTTTACTAATAGTCAAAGTTATTGATTAACTTATGATTAATAAGCCTATTAACTACCTGCTCATTTTACTTGTAAGTCCAAAGCAAATCTTGTGTGTTGGAGTACAAAAAAAAAAATCATTTAGTAAAATTCAATAATACAAAAGTAATGTTTTTGGTGATCTTACATATTGATATGTAGGTGGTCCTACATATCACTACATATTGGTACTATCGATTCTAATGAATAAGTCGATATTCATTTTATGTTTCATTATATTCTAGATGAACAGGAGCATTTATGTTAGTCGATAAAATAAAATAAAAAATAAAATAAATAGTTTATAAAATGAATGAATAACCATAAAATCATAAAATGAATAGTTTCATTTTAGGAGGATGGGAAGTGTTCTACACTTGCTCTTAAGACGTTTTGTAAGTTAAAGATATTTCTCAGAGGCCGTCTATGAGAAAACGTTTCTTCCTTAATTCTATTTGTTCTATCATTACCCTTAAACCTAACATACCAATGAATCTATCAAATCGTGGCCTATTTTCAAGATTTTTCCCCAAACACTGAATTCTCTCTCTTACTGACTGGATAAAATGCTGAATAGTATTTTATAGTGAATAGTATTTAAAATAATATTTAATTTACATAATTATGTCCGAAATGCTTACTATATATACCTTTAAGGGGGTAGGTTCCATTATATACCCTTTAAGGCACAGCTCCCACTATACCTGGGTGAGTAGTTCAACCTTGTGAGGACTTACATATATGCCTAATACATATATATACACATACATGCTTCCTGCGAGTACGGAGTAGTGAAATCTAGCTCTCGGTACCTCGGCTATTAGTGTTGTCTTACGCCTGGTGTAAATGAGATTGTAAATGAGGTATGGAGTAATCTGTAAATAATGTATGTTGACCAACTTTTCAGGTCATAAAGAGGGCTGGGTCACGTTAGTGGTCAACCTCATCACCATCGCCATATGCATCATACTCATCCAAGGCATCAGAAAGGTATGGAACATTATCCCAAAAATCCTTATCCTGATCCCTTCCAAGGGCTACATAGTCGTAATGGCTTGGCGCTTTCTCCTGATACTTCCTTCCTTCCTTGTAATAAAATAAAATTCTGGATGTTCTTTGATTTTACAACAAATTAAGTTAGTTTTTAAGTTAGTTTTTAAGTTAGTTATTAAGTTAGTTATTAAGTTAGTTTTTCTTCTCTACAATTCTAATTTTGATGTGAAGGCTCATACTCTTGACAACTAAAGGTTTGGTATGTCTTGTGTGATGTGGCAAGGTCTCTCACACATGAGGTATATTAGATCACATACACTGCAGGTCTATCGATATATCTCATACCCTCTTATACAATCCTGACTCGAGGATTAGTGCCTCGAGTCAGGATTGTATCACGAGGCTACTTCACAACCACGAATATATTTGGTCGACCAATGTATGACCTCAGTTTGCGCATCTAATTACTTAGTCATGTTGATCAGACCACACACTAGAAAGTGAAGGGACGACGACGTTTCGGTCCGTCCTGGACCATTCTCAAGTCGAACGTGATCCAGGACGGACCGAAACGTCGTCGTCTCTTCACCTTCTAGTGTGTGTTGTGATCAACACTTTTCAGCCACGTTATTGTGACTTTCATGTGTATTCAACAACTATTTCCACTTGCAGGAGAGACGAGGATGGGTGATGACGTGGGTCTGGACGACTGGAATCATCATTGCCATCAACATTATCCTGATAGTGATTGGGATCATCCTTACACTTAACTTCATAGGTGGAATTATAGCCTTAATCTGCATGGGAATTGCAGTCTACTGTGTGTTGGTGGTGCGCTCCTATGCTCTCTCTGTAAGTACCTCGTTGGTTTGCCTCAGCTAATCACCAGACATCATTACACTAATAGTTATGTAGGTGCAGTTACCAGTGTAATAACCACAATATTATTTGTATCTAGTTACAGAACATGATCAATGTTCCTAGTGGCCCCCTATTCCTTATTCACAAATATATATATATATATATATATATATATATATATATATATATATATATATATATATATATATATATATATATAGAGAGAGAGAGAGAGAGAGAGAGAGAGAGAGAGAGAGAGAGAGAGAGAGAGAGAGAGAGAGAGAGAGAGAGAGAGAGAGAGAGAGAGAGAGAGAGAGAGAGAGATTAGATAGATAGATATAGATAGATATGGAGATGTTGTGTTATACATGTGTAAGTATGAAAAATAAAGATTCAAAAGCTTTATCCACAAATGTTTGTGCATATATATAATTGAGTTACATAAAATTACAGTACATTATTTACTAAAGAGAAATTCATAACATCTTAACATATAATCATAATTATATACTGTATTATATACTACATACACATAAGGATAATATACTGTATTATATACTGGCCTACTGAAGTCATTATACTCTGAAAATTTAATTTTCTTTTCGAATACCAGTGTATTTAATGCGTGTATACAATATGCTGATTTATTTTTCAATTATTCCAATTTATTATTTCAATTATTATTATTATTTTAATTCCAGCTGGGATCTGTACCGAGCATGGCTTAAGTCAGCGCCTGATCTCTGATCTTAGCAATCACAGGAAGGATTACAACCGTCTTCACGTGTAAATTGCAACAAATAAAGATTACAAGAATATATCATTTTGCAAAGTAAAATGATAAACATATCTATGTGAAGATAAGAGCTTACTGTGTAGCTCTTATTGCCCCAGTATCTGCACCTAGCTTTTCAATAACTGTGCAATACGTGGGATGTTGCAACCCGTTCTCGCACTTTCTTACGGTCAATATTGACTTATTAAATAAGTCCATATGTGACACACTAATTTATTGTTTATATTTCAGTTTAACCTTGAAAAGCTTCATAGAAAACACCGACCTTACCTAACCTTCTTAGTATGTTAAGATAAGCATCTTATTGCTTCGTAATTACAATTATTACTTAACCTATACCTATAATAGGTTAATAATTGTAATTACGAAGCAATAAGATGCTTATCTTAACATACTAAGAAGGTTAGGTGAGGTCGGTATTTTCTATGAAGCTTTTCAAGGTAAACTAAAATACTCACAATAAATTAGTTTGTCACATATGCACTTATTTAATAAGTCAATATTGACTATACGAAAGTGCGAGAACGAGTTGGATATTTATATTCATCACAATCTTCAGGCATCTTACACAGCGTCAGTTTAAAATATATCTTTCACTTGCCAATAATGTTGATATTATAGCTTAATACATGTTTAAACTATGACTGTGTTCAGTAATGTAAGTGGGAAGCATCACAGTAGTGTTATAGGTGTGATGCTCACCTGTGTTTTTTAATGTTATGATTTCATGTGCTTTTTAATATTAAAATGTTTGGTTTGTACTAGTCTCAAGATGTATTTGTAAAAAAAAACACCGTCTCCAAATTTGGTATGAATTAATAGTACTATATCATTATACATGAGCTTCAATTTGCAGTCACCTCCTGAAGTTTCATTGTGTGAAGTTTTGCATGTAAGTTTCAATATAATATGAGGCATGGGGTAAGGTCGCTGGTCCTCGGCCACTATCTACATTTTAAACAAATATAAAGGGAATAAGCAAATATTTAATGATTTAATAAAGTTAATTTTATCTATAAAATGTCACCACAATCGAGGATTGTATGTGGGTACAGAACACATTTATATACAAGTCAAGACAAGTCAGTAACTGGAGTTCAGGTCCAGTCCAAGAGATAGGCTACTTAAGAGAAGGTAATAAGCATATTAGTTAAAAAGTATATACCTCCTTTATAAAAAGGTGTTTCACCAACATGTATATTATGCAATAATTCCTCTTACTATCATTAAACATGTTGCAATATTCCCCTACATTATAATGGAGTGGCAGGTGATGGAGTCATACCTCGAGGGCCTCGAGACTGAGTGTCTCCACTTGCTGCCACTGGAGTACCACTTTATAAGTACTAAAACCCCCTCTGAAAGGTGTCCTAACCAAGTTCCATCATAATATTCCATATACTGTATATCGCTTATTATAATAAATGGGAACTGTCCATATATAATGTTCAGGTTTGATTAACTGACATCTCAGGCCCTTAGTTCCCTCAAAATAAGTTTAATTTAAGTCTAGATTGACAGTTTTCTCTGATTTAATGTTCAAATTTGTTGAAACTTCTAGTTTTGTCTTGGATATCTTATATTTTCATATGTGAAACCAATATTTTTTTTTATTTCTTTGGTTTAATTTTATTCCATTCTTTAGGTGTCAAGCTTTTTATTTTTCCTATGAGTGACAACTGGCGACTTTACCCCGGGCATCACTTTACAAACTTTAGAACATCACTACAAAAGTGATGATTATTTGTTATATTTTGAATGCAGAGTCATTCAGCTATTCTATCTACAAAAGATTACAAATACCTTCAGTATAAACCAACAGGATGATAGATGCACAGTGTGACTTGTTTGATATTAATGTCTATGCTTAAGAAATTTATAATTATTGCAGTAAACTGCATATTTGAATGAGTGCCACTGATTTGTTTTTTATTAGTTTGTAACTGCTAAGTAGACTTCTTGTAGTTTTAAGTATTAAAATTTCATAACATGAAGCGAGCCTAAACTAGGCATCTCTCTTGTTTAAAAAAAATTGTGCTTTTGTCGAGATATTCACAACAAATGACAAAATATTGCAACTTGAAAACAAATTTTTTTTTTTACATAAATTTGGAGCAAGATGGTCAATGTTCCCTAACCCAAGACCACTGCTATCCATGTATTTTTAATATGATATCAAAGCCTGCACAAGCAGAGAGAGATAACACTAAAATATTTAAATATTTAATCTCATTTTAAGGGAGATTAAAAAAAATCAGTACAGAACAGTATTAGTGATAAATATATTCAATGGAGCAGCAATGTTTATTTTTTGTACAATTATTCTCTAGATTTTATGAAAAAGAAGTCTAATATGTTTGAACATTCTGTTGCTAGACTCAGGCTCTCTGTTGCTATAGTATTTATATTTTTTTCTCTAGGATACAGAACAGAAGATGTCATCTGCAGTATATATGTAGTAGAAGCATTTCGTCCTCTTTTATTTTATAATTCAAGGTAGAAAATCAAATTGATTAATACCTAATATTTTTATACACACTAGTACAATACTTTAGTAAAGTTTATTATATAAAATGTAGTAAACAAATGAGCATTTATATTGCTCCAATTTTGAAAATATTTGCTTCGTAAAGAATATCGAAATATTGTGTCTTCCTTACCACCATTAAATAATAGTTTGACATTTTTTTTATTGTCCAATAATTATCCAGCTTATCCTCCTGTTTTGGTAGTACTTAAAGTACCTATGAGGACCATACTATATATACCGATATACAACGAAATTACAAAGTAGAAATCGGAACTATTGAGTTGAACTTACCGGAAAACTATTTTTGACTCGTGTTGCAAAGACAAATTAATCTAACTTAACCTAACCTTCCTAGGCCTAATACATGACATCTGAGGCCTAATGTAATACATGTGTGCGCCTAGGAATATTTTTTTTTTTAGCTTCATTTATTTTAAAAGAATTCCTTACTAGTCAGTATACTACTATCTAAAAGCTAAGACCGTACGAATTCGTGACTATTGACGATAGTCACAATAGGTACTATCTAAACAGGAGGATGGGTTAAATATGCATGTTATCTGCAAAATATATATTTACCAAACAAAAATAAAAAACACTGCATGTGACTAACCAGGCCAGAAAAATATGCTTCCGTGATTTCATTCATTCTACAGAAAGAACTTCTATTCTTTCTTAGAATATTCTTCTAAGAACTTCTATTTTATTCTAATTTACTTAATTCAATTGTCAGAGAGAATATGTTAAATACATGAAAACTTTTATAATTTTTTTAAATTCAATAAATGATCTGACTTTTAATATGGAAATAAGCTAAATATATTTTAATATATAAGGACTGTCATGAAGCCAGCTATATAGTAGCCATCTGTGAGCATATCTGCTCTCTGAGAATTCATCTTAGTTTGGTATTAAGATAAAGTCAGCAAGAATATTTGTTGGGAAAAACATTCTTAGGAAGAACGGGGAGGGGACTTTAGGTCCCCATCCCGTTCCCATCAAGGCCACTGAAGATGGCGGTCCTCAGGTATATTCAAGTATTCTTTGGCTTGCAAAGTGGCGACTCAAGTCACTCATTTCAACCCTGCCACGTCCACATAACATTATAAGACTGCCCGAAACGCTTTGCGTAATAGTGGCTTTAGGCATTGTATGTACTAGCTCTATCTATAAATCCATCAATTTTTGTAAAATCTCTTGTATGTATGCACCTTACCTGAATAAACATTTATTTATTTATTTATAATTTATTTATTTATAAGCAAACATTCGAGTTGTTCAAGAAAATCAGAAAATAATATACATGTGACAATGATTTTTATTTATTGTTTTAGTCATTCATTGAATATAATAATAATAATAAAAATTATTTTAATTAAAATTAAAATTATTAAATTAAATTATTATAATAATAATAAAAAATTATTAAATTATTATTATTATTAAATTTAATTTAATAAAATTTATTATTTATAAATTATTGTACATACATAGTTGCAGAGTTACAGTACAAACATTCTATTAGATTCAAATATAGAGGGAGTACATACAATACCTAAAGCCACTAGTACGCATAGCGTTTCGGGTATTTTTTCCACTCATTTCAACCCTTCCACGTCCACATAACATTATAAACAAACATTCAAGTTGCTCAAGAAAATCAGAAAATAATATACAATAGCGTTCCGCGAGCGCTATGTCATGGGTTCGTATCCTGGCCGGGGAGGATTTACTGGGCGCAATTCCTTAACTGTAGCCTCTGTTTAACGCAACAGTAAAATGTGTACTTACAATACAATACAATTTTATTTAGGTAAGGTACATACATACAATAAATATTTACAAGGATTGTTTAACTTATAGGTATAGCTAGTACATACAATGCCTAAAGCCACTATTACGCAAAGCGTTTCGGGCATAGATGTGTACTTGGTTGTAACAACGATTCTTCGCGGCAGGGATCGTATTCCAGGGACCTGCCCGAAACGCTACGCGTACTAGTGGCTCTACAAGAATGTAACAACTCTTGTATATATCTAAATAAAAAAAATAAAATACTATGTATGTACTAGAGTACATACTATGCCTAAAGCCACTAATACGCACAGCGTTTCGGGCAAGATGTGGCAAAAACATTTAGACTAAAACTTAAAATTAATTGAGATCAAAATCCTAAATTGAATTGAAAAATAAAAAATAAAATAAGAAGTGAATGGTGATAATTACATAATGGATGGAACAGCAGAAATTGAAACAGAACAGCAATAGTAATTTTAACACACAGAAGACTACAATTTTCTTTAAGTTTATACATGGCGAATATCAGTAGTTATACAAGTTGGTTGGAGGATAGAAATTGCCTAAGCTACTCTATCCCTTTGAGATATATTTTATTCTATCAATAAACGTACTTGAAGTTTGTGTATAATCGAGTAAATCTAATTTACTTTAATTTTCGTACACAAACACATACTC